ATGATCAATATTCAAACACTTGCGATGTTTATTGGATCGGCTCTGAACAATATACTGTAATAAACATTTTCACAGATTGAAAGTGCAATCTTATTACTCTGGGGAATTCATGTTGTAAATGCTGTAGGATACATTATCTGATAAATTCCACATTGTGTTTTCGGAGCAGGGGTCAAGGCGACTTATTTCTGTGCACTTACTTTGTTACTCTCAAGAGTATTATGGTGTCACATAAACAGTATAATGACACAAGCAGTAATTTGCTGATTTATTTATAGTGGATTTCTACTTCAGTTGTTGACAGTAAAATAAAAACAGAAAATAAATGTGAAATGTTTAGCAGAGAAGTGCTATGAAACTTTATGACCAATAATAAATAAAAAAAGGACACAGCTAATCTACCCCTGAGACCTCCTGTTGACAATGCTCCATGTCATGACAATGTGCAACTCATGAACACCTGTGTCCTGTATACACCAAACAAAATAGGGGACTTTAAAATTCAGAAATTTAGTACAGTCAATATGGAATCCAGCTTTGTGTTGGTAATTTTTGATATTAAGTTCAACTTGATATAGAGGGGCATTTTCAATTTAATAGCTTTCAATTTAAACAGAACCAATTTAAAATAATGTAAATGATATTAAAACAAATTTGAAATAGAATTTTATGCTCATTTTTCAGAAGGAACTGCACAAGCCATTGGTAACAGCCCACCTCTCTCAACTAGAAATATTATTATAATTGTTGCTGTTTCTGCCAGCATTTTCATCCTTGTAGCAATAATCATAATTGTTTTTTGCTGTTGCTCAAAGAAAATAGCTAAATCAGGTGAGATGGAATTTATAAGTTAGACAAAATAAATAGATTTGCTATGTTTTAAATATAAACTTCTCAGTCAATAATTTTTTACTTGAAATATATAATGTTTGCAATTTTTTTTTTTTACAAATATTTATTAGTTCACTAATATTATATAGCTGAACAGTTTAATTGTATTTAATCTATCTATATATCATACCTTGCTAGAGAAGTATGTGTAATATAGCTTCATATTTGTATTTTTCTAGCATTTATATTTTTGTCTCCTTTGTGCTATGCATAGTGTATGGTATTAGTAAATTAACTCTTAAAAAGTGCAAAAAGTTATCATAAAGTATAAAAATTAATAAAAGTGAGATTCCAGAATGGTACAGAAATTACATCACTATTCTTAGAAAATAGCCCTTTGGTGGATCAGGAATAAGTTTGAGAGCATATAATGCTCAAATTTGAGATTCATCTCTTTTGACAGGCACAAGTTAGCTCATTTTGTGCTTCAAGAAACTAGCAAGTAAACACATTTAAAAATAAACAATGCACATGTGGCTATTAACATGTATTATATTATCCATAATTACTGTCAAAGTAAGATTCTATTTTGTTAATAATAACCACATTTCAATTTTAGTCTAAAACAAAAAATTTCATAGTAAAGGAAATAGACCATATGAAACAAAAATCAAATACATTTTATTAATCCTAAAAATTTCTGATGGGGTCCAGACCCCATCAGCTTTATAAAGCACATTCAGGGATGCAGCCAAGAAAAAAAATATGTAGGCCTGATATGTTGAGCATGATCATCTAGATTATAAATCTTGTAGGTAACTGAAAAAAAAAAAAAAAAAATTGACAAAACAACATGTAGGCCTGGACTTTTGTGTCTAAAGGTAATGATGCCCCTGAATGTTCTAAACTATTTCTGCACCAAGTTGCTTGTAGTCCATGGCTTTGTAGGCTACAGGACTTTTAGTAACTTATTAATCACATGGATAAATGTAAACATTACTGCAATTAATCATGTTATAGTAACTAGTGCTGGGGTCCCCTATTTATTTTAGATATAAAATGTGTGATTTCATTCACATTTGCCCAGTGAAACAAACAAATTAATAATTTGAGGGTAGTACACTTTCATGGTTTGTGTAATAATAACTGGATTGTTATGATGAAGTTCAATAAAGACCTTTGATATAGGATTTTAATGTGTAAAGCATTCTATTTCTTAAACTTAACTAATTGTCAATATATTTTCTACTTAAACAACCACTGCAATATTTTGAACATAGTTCTTTTTATTCCATGTTTTTTCAGTGCAGAAAAATAATAAGATGGAAACAGGAAGGTAAATACGCTTTACATAATTGTTTGAAAAAAGCAAAGTAGTAATTATTTAAGATCTGGAATTGATTTTGATGTTACCTATTTTCATTTGTATTAACTAAGGTTTCTTACAAGTTCGAAGTTTGATATATCAGTATATTTAATATAATAATCCTTCATTTAAACCTCTTCCATTATTCAAACTTGTATCAAATGCTAGTATCTTTCAGATTTTTATCTGTAATTTGAGGCTTTCTTTTTTTTATAATGCAGTATTGTTAAGCAAAAACTTTAAAACAGAACAACATTCAGTTATGAATGTAAATATGCTATATGTTTATATAATATGAAAACTTTTTTTCCACATATTAGTGCAAGATCACCAACAATCTCACAACCATACTACACAGAAGGTCTTAGCAAACTTCCTGACACTGGGTTTGATGATCTTAATAAACCACCTGTGTATACACCTACTTTACCAGCTGGTCATGTTAGTAATAATGGACTTCTCAGTAACCAATTTCATAGTGGACCTCCTTCAAGTCATGGTAAGTATTTTGTTTTAATGTAATTGTATTTGTGTTCTGAAATATTTTAATAATGCTGTCACATAGCCATTCCCAGTTCCAGTTATTAATTAAGTTTGATAAGAAATTATTGTTGTGATATTTCCCTCTACTGTTAACAATTCACAAACATATTTATCAAATCATAATAAGTTTAAGATAAAAGTAAGCATTATCTTTCTGTGTTTGAAGTATGTCAAATGTTACACATACATAAAACATTTCTTTTGCTTATTATATGTCAGCAAAAGTTGTTAAACATGAAAAAAACTTATGTATTTATCTTCAAAGTAATTATCATCATTATTTTTAGATGTGATGTATATACCAGATCAAGAAATATCTCCTAATGACAGTCAGTCAGACCTTTGGCTCAAATCTGGAGGTGAGATACCACCAGAGGTTGCTTTTCAACAGTATGATGGTGGTTTATCAAATGGGTATTTTTACCCTGAAGATTATCATCCATTAGGTGAAGATATGATGAATATGAGAAATAGAGAATATATGCGTAAGTATTTCACTAAAGAGTTAATAATTTGAAAAAACAAAACATAATTTGTATCAAATTAAATACTATCCAAAAATATTAATCCAAAACATTATTAATTTATATGGACCACAATTACTTTTATCATTTTACAACAACAGTACCACATAAATTGGAAAAATTTATGAAGCATTTCATTTTCATTTCTGAAATTTATAGACAAATAACTCAATATCATGATAAGAAATATTCTAGTGTTATGAAATATTAAATAAACCTTATTAATTGTCAAAATGTTATATAAGCTACAGAAGGTCTAAGTAAACCAGTGAAACTAATTTTTAACACTAATAATAAACGACCTTATAAGACCAAATTTGTTATTTTTCATTAATTGGACACTCATCATTTCACTTTGCAGCTTCTTCAGGATCATTCCGCTAAAACAAAAACTGACAGTACAAAGCTCCAGTTGGTTTAAATAAGAGGCTGTAAAGCAAAATGCTGAGTATCCAATTAAAGAAAAATAACAAATTTAGTGTTATAAGGTCGCTTATAACTCGTATTAAAATGTCTTTTATACATCAGTATGCACTACAGTAACGAAAACTAAATTTAGTTTTCACAGAAATCATGGACTTTTTTCTCTTATCTTCTTTATTGAATGTTTGTTACTTTCAGATTCCCCATACCATGAAGTTAATGGTCTTCCAAATCCTTATGCTCTGACTGATGAAGACAAAATCCCACAGATACCGCTACATTATGCTGAAAGCCATGAAAGTGGTTATTCCACACCTACATCCAAAAATCACAGAGTTGTACGTGAAATAATTGTATGAAAATGAAACATGTCCTTGTTCCTTGGCCAAAGATTGAAAAATGTGAAGCCATTTACCCAGACCATGCATAGGAAAAGTTTCATTCTTAAGACCATGAATAATGAAATACATAAAGCCTGAGCAAGAAAAATATAAAACAAAAACTATGTTTTTAATACAGATTTTAGTCATCAAAATGTGTTTTTCACAAGATAGTAAGGAAAGAAAAAAATGTATTCTCTAAATACTTCCTGTAGTGGAGATTTAAATGTGCAGTGTCCTAAATGTAAAATAGTGTGGTGCATGTCTGACTACAAACAGAATTATTTATGGCTTTACTTATGGCAGGAATGATAAAGGGAAATTATACTTTCCAAACAGTCACTGTTAGTCAAACTTTTACTACTTGTTATAAACAATTGATCTCTGATTGGGACTCAAAGGATTAAAATATTTTGCATGAATGGAGACACAAAAACATAGGCGTTTTTATATTTTTTTGTGTGAGAGTGTAGCAAAATAGAAAGTAAGTACAACATAATCAAAGATGTGATGATACTTCAAAGAGTTTGACATTACTTGAGAGCATTTGCCTAACTCTGAATCACATAAAAAACGTTGTTGTATCAAATATACGAAAGGTAGCGATTAGAACTAATATTAGATTTTAGGTTCATTGCAGATTATGAACTTTGTGTGTGCACTCCGAGTTTCATTTCCCAGTGTGTGTGTGTGAACTGTAAATAGGAATTGTATAGAATCATGTCAGAAGACTTAAAAAGTGGGAATATCAGATGTGATTTGTTGAGCTTTCTTAGGGACTTGGCCAGAAGAGTTTTGCTAATAGTAGAAAACAGACAACACTCCTCCAGGCATATAATACATGCTAACTATTTTTGGTTGTAGTTTGTAACCAGTTCGAAGTGATGTCAACAATATTCCATCAAATTTGGCCAAAAGTTGAACTGTATCATTTATGATAAATATATATATATAATCAGATTGCTTCTTGAAAACAGGATGATTTTACAGTCCATCCTAATAAAATTGATAACTATATTTTAGGGATATTATTCAAAATTCGTTATTGACATTTATGTTTGCTTTGAAATGTTTTTTTTTTTCTCCAATTACCAGTAATGTAGAGTATTGGACAATTATATATTTACTCTTATAGATGTGAATACTTTCATACTTGTTAATTTTATTCTTTAGAACATTATTTTGATGTTAAATAACAATAACTTTTCTAGAGGAGTTGCACAAAACCATAGAAATTGCTGCAATCTTTACACTAGTTCATATCCACTATTAATTAAACCCCCAGTTGTCAGTGGCGTTTTTTATCATGTATATTCTTTAAGTAAGTAAATAGTTCTTTGATGTCTGAACCAAGACATCTTCTTTTATTTTTGGGGCTGCTGATTTATTCAAAGTAAATCTTAAAGTAAAATTAAAGTTGAAATATAGTCATCACCAAGTTTTCAGAGCCCACGTAATGATATTCATCGTTTCGATGCTGTAAAAATAAAGGTTAGACAGTTTACTACCATGTCAAATCATGATTCAACCCCAGTATGAAAAGAAACTTATGTCTTTTATTTATTTACTGATAAAAACGACTTGCTTCTTCCAGTGTACAGTATCATTAGTCATTGTTTTAGTGGTCATTTTATACATATATGAAAACGCCTTTTTAACACAATGTAAGTGCCCCGTCAAAACTACACATTGCTGTAAAGATTGCTTATTGCATTGATGAATTAATTTAGTTTAATGCCTTGATTCGTTGATAAAGATGCGTTGTTTCGATACTAAATATAAGTTCATAGTTGTTTCCTATAAACCGTTTAAGTTCTGAATTTTAACATTAAATCTACTTAAGAAACATAGGCATTTTAATTTTACTATGTGTATTTTTAAGACTCTCCTATTAGTTCATTATTATTTTTTACTGAGTTTAATCTCACGCTTCAGCTTTCATTTTTCTATTTACTTGCATTTTAATGCATATACGTTATATTCATTGAAGTATTCTGAAAAAGAGTGTAATTTTGAAGGATACTGTGAACGATCTTTCTATTTTCACGGCATCTATAACTTTTAAGTAAAATGCTACCGTATATATATTTACCTGTATTCTGTTTTCTTATTTACGTGTTCTACTTCGAGTTACTGTGCCTTTTCAAAGAACCAACGGTTTTTAAATATTAAAACTCAACATATTTTGAAAGAAATAAAGTGTATTTTGAAATAGTTTGATCAAAGGAGTGACTAACTTATCTTTTCTTGTACTATTTCTTTACATCCTACTTTAAATATTTAGTACATTATTTCATTAAGAGATACAGATGTAATTTAGGAGGATTCTTTTTATTTTACCTGGTTCATAACGATATTCACAATCCCCTTTTATAACTTATACGAGTTACTCATACTTCTCAATAGGTGGCGGTGTATTTCAAAGTATCTGTCACGAATAATCGTTTAGAGCAGGGGCCACCAAACAACGGCCCGCCGCTGCACTGTGCCACAAATGAGCTAAAATATAATTATCTATATGGAAATATCATAGATTGTAGATAAACTTACTATGTAAAAACAATTAAAGTAAGTGTAAGTAAAAATCTCCAAATTTGTCCAATCTGATTTTTGCATCTGACAGTAATGTAAGTTTTAGGAAAATCATTGAAATAAAAAATTCGGCAACTTTGGATATCAGAGCGCTTTTTGTGTAAGTACCTGCAATAAGAGTTCATTCCTGCAGTCGACTCTGATAACTTAACTTCCAAGTGTTTTTTTCTTAATTTTTTCTCCATCTATTTAGGGATAACTGAACTTCCAAGTATTTTTTCTCCATCCATTGAGAGATAACTGAATTTCTAAGTATTTTTCCTTATTATTTGTTTCTCCATCTGTTGAGAGATAACTGAACTTTCAAGTATTTTTCTCCGTCTATTGAGAGATAACTGAACCTCCAAGTATTTTTCTCCGTCTATTGAGAGACAACTGAACATCCATATATTTTTCCTTATTATTTGTTTCTCCATCTATTGGGAGATAATTAAACTTCCAAGTATTTTTCTCCGTCTATTGAGAGATAACTGAACTTCCAAGTATTTTTCTCCGTCTATTGAGAGATAACTGAACTTCCAAGTATTTTTCTCCGTCTATTGAGAG